AATTTGGCTATCTCTTACTTCCTTCTCTTCTCTTATTGCTATTGCTAAGATTTACAATAAAATATTGAATAGAAGAGGTGATAGTGGGCATCATTGCCTAGCTCCTGTTCTCAAAGGGAATGCCTTTAATTTCTTTCTATTTAGAACCATGTTGGCTCTTTAATTTGCTTATATACCTTTTACTAAGTTGAGGAAATTCCCCTCTATTCCTATTGTGTTGCTTGTTTTAATCAGAAAGGATGTTGGATTTTGTTAAAAGGTCTTTTCTGTATCAAATGATATGATCTTGTGGTTCTTGTTCTTTGTGTTATTAATGTGATGAATTAAACTGATTGTTTTCTTATGCTGAACCATCCTTGCATGGTGAAATATTTTTTATGTATTGTTGGAATCTATTTTCTAGGACTTTATGCACAATTTTTGCATCTATGTTCATGAGAGATATTGGCCTACAGTTTTTTTATTTTGCTGTTGTTCTTACCTAACTTTGGTATCATGGATATGTTTGTTTCATAAAATAAGTCTGGGAGAATTCCATCTTTTTCTATTTTCTGAAACAGTTTATGTAAAATTGGTGAGAGTTCTCAGAATGTCTGATAAAATTCAGTCATAAAACTATCTGGTCCAGGGTTGTTTGTTTTTTTCTTTGTTTGTTTGTTTTTCTGTAAGCTGTTTTATTACCTTTTCAATTTATGCTTTTAATGGGTCTGTTCAGGTGCTCAATTTCTGTTTATATCAGCTTAGGTAGACTGTGAATTTCTAAATATATGTTCATTTCTTCTAGGTTTTCATATCTGTTTCAGTATAGATTTTCATAATATTCCATTGTTAGCCTTTTTATTTTAATTGGTTCCATTGTGACACTGCCTGTATCACCTCTTTTTTTGATTCTTTGTATCTTTTCCTTCCTTAGTTTTACTAGTGGTTTGTCGATTTTATGGACCTTTTTGAAGAACCAACTCCTGGTTTGGTTGATGTTTTCAATTGTTTTTCTGTTTTCTATTTCCTTTATCTCTGCAATTTTTATAATTTCTTATTTTTTATACAGTATGCGATTATATTTTTTTTCAAGTTGTTGGAGATGTTGGGTTACAAAGTCAATGGTCATTTATTCTTGCCTTTTGATGTGTTTGCTTATTTGCCATAAATTGACCTCTGATCACTGCTTTGGCTGTGTCTCCTGTAGACAGCATATTGATGGATTTTGGGGGTTTTATCCAATCTGTTCCTCTTTTTCTCTCCAGTGGTGCATTTAAACCACTCACATTCAGTATAATTATTGAGAGGCAAAGTCTTATTACTATCATTTTTTTAAACTCTTTTTGGTGTTGTTGCTACTTACTTTGGTCCATTCTGTTTTCTGTGGTACCTCTGTAGGAAGGATGTCTGTTAGTGTTTCATGTAATGCTAGTCTTGTTTTCTAAAAGTCCTTTAAGTTCTGTTTTTCTGAGACTATCTTGATCCTTCCTTCAAATTTGATGGACAATTTTACTGGGTACAATATTCTTGGTTGACAGTTGTGTTCTTTGACTTTTGACACATGTCATTCCACTGACTTTCTGCTTGCTTAGATTCTGCTGAGAAAACAGCACTTAATCATATCTATCTATCTATCTTTGTTTATCCCTAGCTACTTTCAGAATTCTCTCCTAATCTTTGGTTATGGCAAATCTATTATATGCCTTGGTGGTTTTCTGTTGGGATCTATTCTATATGGTATTTGCTCAGCTTCTTGAATACATACTCTCCATTCTTCATTATGCCTGGAAAGTGTTCTTCTAGTAATTCTTCAATGATTTTTTTGGTGCCTTTGCTTATTTCTTCCTGTTCTGGGATCCCAATTATGCCCATGTTATTTCTCTTGATGTTGTCCTATATTATTCTTAGGTCTTCTTTTTTCTATTTTCTTTTTTTTTTAATTCTGGTTTTTGTTCTGCAGAACTGTGGTGAAAATTCTATCTTCAATTTCACTAATTTTGTGCTCTATATCACCAACTCTGCTCAGGTGTCTCCTTCATGTTAACAGCATCTGAAACCTTGGTCTTCGTATTTTGAATTGTGATTTCTTGTTTTTCCAGAGCCTCTAACGCCTCTTTTGTTTTATCTGTATTGTTTTGGATTGATTTTTAAGTTTTTCATAAATTTTTCTTGCAGTGTCCTGTAATTCTTCAAGTTCATCTTTTATCAATTGAAAATATTGAATCATTGTTCTTCTAAATTCTGTGGCAGAAAGTTCCATAAGACTTTCTGGCTTCAGGGAACTCAATGTTACAGCATCACTTTGGATGTGAGGTCTTACTTTGGGACTATGTAAGGATTGATGTAGGCTGCTTCTTACGTGACATTGCTGTGGTGGTTTTTCATGCCTGAGGTGATAGCAGGTTCTTTATCTGAAGTTACTGTTCCAGATAAGGGTGGGGAATCACCCTTCCTGGGTTTCTTTCCGACTCAAGGGAAGATTTGCTTCAGTTTGGAAGAAAAAAGCCTGTGAAAGCAGACACCTCTGGGAGACAAGTGCTGCAGCTAGGCCAGGTCAAGGTGCTCCAGGCTAAAAACAGTCAAATGACTGGACGTGAGGAGATGTACGCAGGGCAGAAGTGCATGAAAACCTGAGTGGAAAACCAGCAAACCTTGATTATCCCTTCCAGTACTGGATCTGCCACCTCACTTGAACTCCACCTATCATGCTCCCTTCTTCCTGAGCTTTCTGTTTTGTTTTACATTTTTCTCCAACTCTATCTGGATCATCTACTCTATTTTTGCAGCGCCTACTAGTACTTGCTGGGCCCCATTTAGTTCGTCTCATCTCAGAGTATTGGAGTTAAAATTCATGTTTGTGAGGCTTATGAGCAATTTTTTTCACTATTTTTTCTTTTATTGGCTCTTCCTTGTTTCATACAGAAAGAAGTCAAGAGCCTCCTTTTCAATAACCCCTCACAAGCAAGATTAACTTTTACTCCGTATTTCTCCCACTTTTCAGGGCTTCTGTTGTGATCCTGAATAACATTTGTTACTTTTAAAAGCTCTTTATGCAAGCTAAAAATAATTGGAATTTCAAAAACACAAGTGCTATCAAACTACGCAGTGATCAGTTGGACATACACTGAAGGCCTATGTACTGCAGCCTTTTCTACGTTAGGATGTCCAGTTATGTGTTGATAGGGTAGCGGAGTCAACCTAACCCACTGGAGCCTTAGCTGGCCTGTCATCCTTTTTTTCTTTTTATTTGACAGTACACACACACACACACAAATAATTAAAAAAACCAAACCTGAAAACAAATTAAAAAATTATGCACCACCAAGTCAGAACCAACCCACAGCTTACTAGTCTTCTATTCTACTAAGCATGATATATTTTTCCAAGACATGAAGCCTTATCTCCTTAGGAGATTCCTGCTACACTCTTGGTTACTTCCTCACAAAGAGCTGCTTTTTCCAATTATTCCTGTTATGTATCATTAAGTCAGAACCAACCCATTGCTGACCCTCCAGTGGGTTTTCTGAGACAACAATTTTCACAGGAAGAGACTGCCAATTTTGCTCCCATGAAGAAGGTGGTGGATTTGAACCATGTACCTTTACGCCAGCAGTATAACTCCTCACCACTAGGCCACCAAATATTCCTTTATCTTCTTTGTTCCACATGCCATGGCCACATGATACTTACCTTTCTGGAGAAGAGGAAGCAGAGCAGCTGGTCGTACTGTCTACGGGCTGAGCAGCCAGGGACTGTCACTGTACTCTTGCACAGCTGGGATTTACTGCAGGCTTGGGCCACATTCCTGTTAGGGAAAAAAATGGTATGACTCATTAAAAAGAGTGAATCATTTTTTTAAAAAAATTTTGTATTGATATTTTAATGAAAGTTTACAGAAAACTTGCATTTCCATTCATTCATTGTTGCAAATTTTCCTCCCCCACCCCCCAGTTCGCTTCTTTAAAAAGATTCTTTCATTTTTGCAAAATTTCCTCCCTCCCTCCCACACCCCAGTCCACTGTGCTATGAACCTTTTATTCTGGACTGCTGTCATGAAAATAATATCTAATCATATCTTTCTTAAAGACAGTTCTCTCATTGATTTAAATGCAGTGTTCATTATGTATCACCTTTTTTCTTAGTGTTTCCCTACCCCCACGACAATCCCATTTTATAACAGTGGCATTATGCAGTATTTATCCTTCAGTGACTGAGATATTTCACTCAGCATAATGTCCTCTAGGGTCACACATTTTGTATAATAACTTATGAGTTCCTTATTTGTCAGTGTTGTGTAGTATTCCATTGTGTGATATATCACGGCTTCCCTATCCACTCAATTGTTGACAGACACATGGGTTGCTTCCATCTCTTTGCTATTATAAACAAAGCAGCAATAAACATGGGTGTACATATATCTGTTTGGGTAGCAATTCTGGTTTCTTTAGAGTATATTCCCAGTAATGCAACTGCTGAATCAAATGGTATTTCAATTTCCAGCTTTTTGAGAAACCTCCATAGGGCCTTCCAGAGTGATTGCACCATTTATACACCCACCAACAGTGAATAAGGGTTCCAATTTCTCCACAACTTTGACAGCATTTGTTATTTGCTGCTATGTTGAACTTTGTTATTGTTAAGAGGGTGAGATGATATCTCATAGTTATAGTATTTTTTAAAAAGGAAAAATCTTTTAGTAATCAGAAGTCATGAAGCTTCCCATTTATGTGTATAACTTCTTGGAGTAGATTCATGCACTGGTCATTACTACCCATCCTGAACCCTTGACATCAAGTTGATTTGATGCAACATTTCTATAGGACGGGGGTAGGGGTGGAATCTGCATAGAGTTTAAACTTGTAATCTTTATGGAAGGTGACTGTCTTATCTCTCTTCTACTGAGATGTTTCTAGGTTTGAATAACCTCTATTACATTCAGTATACTCTTTTCAGAAGGGTGATCTGTTTTATGTATAAATCGACCAGAGAGCAGGGAGGCTGATGAGAGCTCTGAATGGAGCTCATGACTGCTGCAGCTGGGTCACAAAGGACACAGTGGTATGGATGCGAGAGGTGGACACAGTCCTGAGTGATGGATGGGCTGAAGAGGGCCAGAACAGAGGTGGGAAGAGGAGGTGTCCGTGATTCCCTGGCGCCTGGACCTAGTTTTGCACAGACATTGGGTTCAGATGTGGAGACCTTTAGAATAACTAGAACTCAAAGACAGTGCTTTGAGATCCGCAGGAAGTAGTGCCAATAAGTTGAACCCATCTGCTTCCCAGTAGCTGTAACACGCGTTGTTTTCTTGACTCTCCCTCATGGGCCTTAGAAGGTACACACACACATGCCCCAAGCAAGGGTAATCCCACTACTTTGTCCCAAATATAAATATGGGGCACACATTTTCTCAAGAAGAGATCACGACTGCAGTAGGTATATCTGGTGATCTGTGCTCTCCAGATCATGTCCATCAGCTTGGCCCAGAAAGGTCCATGTAGTGTTGAACATGTCTTCTGTGCATCCAACCTGGAGGACAAACACCCAGAGCTAAGGAAGTCAGTACTGGTGGTAGACAGGGACTACAGCCACTCTGAGAAGGGACTTGCCTTTGGAGGTGGCATTGAGCAGGCTGTACTTGAGCAGGGCTTTAGCCTCTTCTCATATTTTCTTCCAATCACCATGCTCAGCCTCCACTGGTGAATGGCTCTGTCAGAGGAAACTGACTTCAAGTTATGCTTTTTCAGCTCCCTAACTGCGTAGGCTTGGCTACCTGAATGGTTCTGAGCACCCTGGGGTGGATGGGTGTTTTCACCCTTAAATTTTACTGATATTTGAACTACAGGATGGCTCACTGGGTGGATAAAATACTGCCTAAGGAATGCCCTGAAAGACATCAGACAGTAGAATGCATTCTAATACCTTTAGCTGCTATAATGCACTTCGCTTTGAGATGTAACCTCCAATGCTTCACAAGGCAGAGCCTCTGGAACAGTGATGCCAGAAGCCACCTGTCAGGAGCTCTGAAAACTGTACATTATGTGTTGGTCTGCTCACTGAATGGCTAGCAGCTCTGACACTCAGATGCTCTAAGTGAGAGGGAAGGCAGTTTACTCCCATAAAGATCAGAACCTTAGAAACCCAATGGTGACAGGTCTACTCTGTAGAATTGCTGTAACTCACAGACAATTCCACTGTAAAGAGTTCACAATCAACTATCAGAGGCATTTTTTTCTCTAGTCAATGACAGAATTAACTCAATATTTTTATTATTCTGTCTTACAAAAGGATAGAATATGTTGGAATGGAATAAGTAATTGTGGTACATTCACACAATAGAATATTATGCAGCACATAGGAGCAACGATTCTGAAAATACTATATAACTTGGGAGAGGCTGAAGAGGATCATCTGAGTGAGCTAACACAATCTTATAAGGATAAATACTGCATAAGACCATTATTGTAAATATAGAAAGATAACTAGTAAAACGCGTACAAGAATTCAAGGAGGGCGGGAACAGACTGGTGCGGGAAGGTAGAGGTACAACATAGGACTGCACAGTTTTGGGGGGCTAAATAAAGTGGAGGGATATGAGCAAAAAGACAGGGTAATGATGGGCAAGGTCCAATGGTGATTGAGTTTATGAAACATGATGCATGAGAATGATTGTACGAAACACAGTGTGAATGAAGAATAGTGTGCAACTCAGTGTACAATGAACTTGGTAAGCAAGTCAATAAAAAATACTAAAAAAAAAAAGGACTGTGGTAGCATGAGAATAAAATAGGAAGAAACTCTCAAGCCAAAAAGGAAAGTGGCTTTTCTGTCATGAATTTCTGGACACTCAATAACATCTTTTTGGAAGGAAGATCATGAATGCTACCTTCTTTATATGTAAATGAAGGCAAATCTCCTTCATACTGTGATTTCAATTCCAGAGAACTGAAATAAAAAAAGTTGCATGATTTTTTTGGTTGCCAAGTGGATATAAAATTTAAACTATAATGTAACCTTATTGCATCTACAATGACTTATAAAAAGGTTTGGAATATTATGAGAGTCACTGAAATGTGACATGGAGATAATAGTGCTGATAAACCTGTCCAAGGTAAGGTTGCCACAGACCTTCAATTTTTAAACAATGTATTATCTACACAATGCAATAAATAAAGGCAGACAGTGTAATTTTTTTAAAAGTTATTACTTTAAAATTTAGTAAACTTGGCTTCTATTTTTTCCCCAGCCAAATTCAGCAGTGGGGAGTTGTATACTAATTTTAGTTGCAATAAAGTTAATGGTTTCTGATAAAACTTGGGTTCTTAACAGGATCTGAAGGACAGTCTCAGTCCCAGTGATCTAGGACACGACTCTGTCCCATCCATTCCTCTAGGACACCAGGGGGCACCAAACACACATGTCCTCAGAGAATCTGGAAACTGTGGAATGTCTAGGAACAAACCTCTTAAGCTTTTTCCTTTTTATTCCCCTCAAATTCCAAAATACTAGTAACAGATATCTAAAACAAAGCTCTGCTTTCACCTTGATAGTTTCACATTATTTCATCATGAAAATTGGTGATAACTCTCCAAGTGGAGAAGTAACCACCAAAGGAAAAGGGAGGAGGTTGCTCTAGACTCTCCCTTATTCTACTCGTATGTGACTCTCTTTATAGTGACCTCAGATGAGGAGAGCCCTTGGTCCCTTCCTCCTGATTTGGATGAACTATCGGATGTTGTTACCAGTAACACAGCATTAAGTCCTCAATTTGCTGTTCACTTCGTGATTCTGCTTCTTTTCTTTAATCCCTTCTGTCACTGCAGGCATGAGAAAAGTACAGTGGGAATTTTAAGGATAGTGTAGAACTGGGCACTGATTGTTCTTTTGTCATAGTGTCCCTGTGAGCTGGGGTTGATATGATGGTAGCCAAAAATAAGAGCATGGCCTCTATAGGAGCCCTGACTGTGTAATGTGTTACTGATGCTGAAAAGTTGGTCTGAACCATGTGTAATATGTTACTGATGTTTAAAAGCTGACACTGGGCTGATGCTCAAGGGTTAGTCTGAAGCATCAGCTACTCTGCTGGATAAAGATGAGGCACTCTGGCAATGATTTATGAATGTACACGTCCAGTCTGTCCTACAGGATAACCATGAATGGGTATTGAATCTATTGCGGTATTTTTGCTTGGTATTTATTATTTGTGATTGAAGTATTTGAATGGTAATCAAAAGACCAGTTGTTCAAACACAGCAGCAATTCCACAAGATAACAATGGGTTGTGTTTCCAAGATTAAAGCCTTGAAACCTTCTGGGCAGCTCTATGCTGACGTATAGGACTGATGAGAGTTCCAGTGGAATTTATGACATCTTTGGACATTCTGTTTGTTTTTACAGTATTTTTTTTGAACCCTTAAGATTCAGGTGAGTATGCAAAGTTCTGCTTCTGGTTTGCAGAATACCAGAATCACTACTTTCTTTCCATTTCTGGAGGATTCACCTGTGGAGCAATTACTGTCCTTTCTCCTTTCTGAGGTTTGAAATACAGACCCAGAAATGGGTATTTTTCTCTGGTGTGTAGAAGAGGAAACTGAACTGTCATTTTTAACCCAATTTCTGTTAACTCAGCTATGACTCAGTGTATGTCAGAGTGGAACCATTTTGAGTGGTGGTATCATGTATGCCTATTCCCTGACTTTTTCCCCAAGGCACCTCTGATTAATGTTCCCCTCCAAACAGGCACGTAGCAGCCAAGCATACTGAACTGAACATTTGTACCCCTCAGGAACTCCATACAACCATTTATATGGGGCCACTGAGTCAGTACCCTAATGGCAATACTTCCAATGCTCCACACTTGATATAGTAGAACTGCCCGACTGGATTTCCTAGGTTTTAATACTTATGGAAGCAGGTCATCAAGGTTTCATCCTGACAAGCAGCTCATGGGTTCAGTTAGTGTGGCTGTTTGAAAGGGCCATTAAGAAGATCAGACTGAGGGAGTGACACACAACGAGATACACATAAGGAATGAGCAGAACAGTAGGTATTTGCCTGGAAACAATTGTTTTAGGAGTCACAAGAACTGGAAGATGCTTTGGAAGCTGACAGTCAAGCCACTGTGTGACCCACCAAGCAGGAGGAAGCAGAACAGAGGAAAGTATACTCAGTTTTATTAAGCCCCACCAGATCCAGAGCCCCATCAGACTCTGAGCCCAGCTGGGCCAGAGCCACCAGAGGAAAGCCTATAGCTGGAATATGAGAGAGGCTGCCACGCAAAACCACCTGGACAGCTGGAATCAGAGTGAGGTCCCAGTGGGTGCCTGCTCTATGCCTGCCCCTGACCAGGGCCCTTTTTTGCCCTGCAACCATACCTCCATGTCCATTTAACTAACTTGTCATTAATCCAGAGCATCTTGGTCTGAAGTAGCTGCAACAAGAGGCTGCTCTCACAGTCTCTGAAATGAATCTTCCTTTGGGTCAGAAGTTCAGAGAGAAATACAGGCAGGGTAGATGCTCCAACCTCCCCTAGAGGAGTGACATAAGATCAAGAACATTTCATCACATGAAAAACTCTACCACAGCAATGGCACATAAGCAGCAGGCTTCTTCGCACCCGACACAAGCAAAAAGCAAGATGTCAATCCCCAAAAGTGGCACAGTATCAATGGATTTCTTGTCTCCATAAAGTCTGATGGAACTTTCTAACACAGAATTTAAAAGAACAATGATTTAATATTTTTAGAGTGTGGAAATTATCAAACTATCATTGATATCACATACAAGCAAGATTCTGCTGAAAATTATCCAAAAACGTTTGGAACACTATGTTAACAGAGAACTGCCAGATGTGCAGGCTGGATTTAGAAGAGGTCGTGGTACTAGGGATATTATAGCTAATGTTAGATGGATATTAGCAGAAAGCAAAGAATGCAAGAAGAATGTCTATCTGTGCTTCATTGACTATGCAAAGGCTTTTGACTGCGTGGATCACAATAAGCTGTGGCTGACTCTGAGAAGAATGGGAATCTCAGAACATTTGATTGTGCTGATGTAAAACTTATACTTGGACCAAGAGGCAGTTATCGGAACAGAACAAGGAGA